CATGTTACATTAACCCATAATTCTTGTCTGTGTTAGCCATGTGGCTTGGTACCTTTATTAGTGAGACATTCTCATCTTGCTTTCTCTGTTGTCTGGATGACGACTCCAGACTGAGCCTTTCCTCTTTTCAGAATTATCCTATTCTGGTCACCCTGCCTATACTTCCTGTCTGGCTATTGGACAATCAGCATTTTTTTATTAAACCAATACAAGACCATAGCAGCAAAGAGCTCATGTGGGTTCAGAACGGTAGCTTCCTGGTTTATGCTGCCAGCATGAACTCTGGCTCTTTTAGGAGGCCAAGCACTTAAATGGGGTTGTGAGCAGTGTGTTATAAATTGCTTAATGGTGACACAGATCCACAGTGACCTGGGATCTGGGGTGGAGAGAACGACTCTCAGAGGTGGCGAACATGCTACCATCAAGTTAAACTGGGTAGAGCAAGCAGGCAGGACTCTGGAGTTAGTCCTAGTCAAAACCACTTAGCATTTAAAAGGAAAAAAGCACTCCTGAACAAAAAATGATTACAAATACACAATAAAGAATGATTCAGATAAAAAAGACCTCTAAATGGATCACAGTGTTAAATAAATGAATGTAGGCTTCTGAGAGAGTGAGGGAAAAAAGAATATAGACAGTTATAATATGAGTATAGGTTAAAGGAGTAAAGATAATAAAATAAACATTAAACTTAAAGAAAAAGTAATAGAGTAAGAAAAATAAGCCATATGATGATGGAATCATCAGAGAGTCTGGATTGTTTATACTATTATGTTTTCTTTAAATTTTTTGACTGTGAATGTGCTAAGTTCAGAGAGACATTTCATTGTATGGGTTGCTCAGTTGAACCAATCTATATATTTTTAAAGTATCTTGATTTTAAAATGGGTGTAAAGATGTGTTGCTTTGAAAAACGGGTTCTACTTTTGTTTCCACAGAGGATGAGAGCCTGTGAATTCCTTCCAGACTAATGTGATTTGATGGACCAAGACCTTCTGAAAGGTCTCCATGTACCTCTCCCCCTGAAAATACTTCACCCAACAAAAAGTAGGAAGCAGTTTAGAGAGAACTATGCCCAAATTCCCAAATATTGCTTATCAATGCTCACTTACATTTAAAGGAGGTTAAGCTATAAAGATTTACATTGGTATGGTCTTTTGATATAATTTAAGGTCAATTTTGTTATATGTATATTTCTGCTCTTAATTAAGGTATTGTGTTTGTGCAGCTCATTTAAAAATGTATAATTAAGAAATATAGGTCAATAGATAGTCATCTATAATAGTCAAGCTTTTAGTCATATTAATTAGGTTTTCTATATGTACAAATATATATTTCAGATGGATAGACATTTTTCAGATCTTTCAAAGACTACAAAGTATGGCATTTAAAATGTTTTAAGAACTTAGACTTTTCATGACAATGAGACACTTCTGTTCCTGGCTGCAATAATCTACTTCAAGAGGAAGATGGTCATTGATGAGGCTCCTTATGGAGTTTGCTAGCCATCTGGGCAAGAAACTGCTCATAGTTGGACTGCTTAATGTAATGCTGTATGAACTGGCCATGCAGGACCTACAGAAAAAAGACTACTGAACTTGCCTAAAGATGAGACAGTCCTTCAGAGTTTCTACTTCATTAAAGAGTCTTTAGACATTCTGCAGGACACAGAAGAAAGTGACTGACAAACTGCCAATATAGGTGGAACAGTCTTTGAAATTTCCTGCTTTATGGGACAGTCTGCTGGATACTATGGGAATGTAGGCTGAAGATGAATGCTTTAATGTTACAGATGAACTTTGGATGACTGTCCAGGCAGCAAGATGTCTCTGTCAATTCTAGAGTTTAGGAAGTTGCTTACAATGAACTTCCTGTGTACTTAGATAATATTATATCTTTCTGGAGTCTTTGATGGAGTTGAAGAATAGATAGTTATAGTTTTCCTTAGTTATGATAAAAAATAAAGAAGATATAAATATTATAACTATAGTTCTTGCTTGAGAGCTGTTTTGTTATATGCAATTTTACTATGTTAAAGTTAAAACTTTCCTTTTATTTAGACAGAAAAGGGGAGGTAATATGGGTTTCCTCTCTGTGAATACCATTGGTTAATAAAGAAGCTACTTTGACCTGTAAGAGGGCAGAGTAGAGCTAGGCAGGAAAACTAAACAGAATTTTGGGAGAAAGAAGGCAGAATCAATGAGATGCCATGGAGCCGCTGCAGGAGACAGATGCTCTGGAACCTTGCTGGTAAACCACGAGCCTTGTGGTAAAATATAAAATAATGGAAATGGATTAATTTAAGATGTAAGAGCTAGCCAATAAGAAGCTAGAGCTAATAGGCCAAGCAGTGATTTAATTAATAGTTTCAGTGTGGTTATTTTGAATCTGGATGGCTGTAATGAGCCATCCTCTGACTACACCATGGCCTTGCTGAATGCTGTAACTCTCATTAGAAATGTATAGGCAAGCACAGTACATCTTCTGGGTAAGCAGTATTACTGTTAGTACAATATGCCAATTAACAACAAAAATTAGGACATAAGCAGTAAGAACACGTTATCTGGGCTGGAGAGATGGCTCAGAGGTTAAGAGCATTGCCTGCTCTTCCAAAGGTCCTGAGTTCAATTCCCAGCAACCACATGGTGGCTCACAACCATCTGTAATGGGGTCTGGTGCTCTCTTCTGGCCTGCAGACATACACATAGACATAATAAATAAATAAATATTTAAAAAAAAAGAACACGTTATCTTTGAGTTGTTTTGTTTGATGGGAAAGAAAGTTTGTTAAAGAAAGTCTAACACTGGTATTTTACCCATAGGTTGGGTCTTTGGTGAGGCAGAGTCATGTTGCCTCAAATCTGAGCCCATGGTGGTAACATGAGAATAAACTCAGAGGGATTTGATTGTTTTTATTTGTTCTTAATGAAGTAGAGTGGATTGAAGAACAGGAAAGCAGAAAGAAAAGGGTAGGTTTTGTTTTTTTGGGGGTGGATTCTGACAACACAGTGTAAGATGAAGCTGTGTAAACTCTCTCACAAGAGGTGACTTTGGAGGACAAGAAAAGTTTGTTCTGGGGCTCTTGTTGCCTAATGAAGTCCTTCAGTGGAAGGTCATGCTAGTGTCCTGCTTATTTGATGAGATGTCCTCTTTCTATTGGAAATGTGTGTATAAGTTGAAGAAAATGTAATAATTTTTTTAGAAAAGTAAAGAGGAGAAAAAGCCCAAACCAAAATGACATTGGGCATCCTTAGTTTTCAAGTTTTTGCTTTTGTTGCTCATATCGACTCAAGTATTTTTCTTCAAATAAATTCCTAATAGAATAAATAAAATTCCATTTTTTGGGGGTGAATCCACTCTCTATAAAGCACAGTGCAATTTGTTTTGGTTTACAGAGAGATTAAAAACTAATTTTCCCTGAATTACATACACATAGTGTGGGAATGGCTTATATAAGTTAAATACTATTGGGCGGCACCAGCCTATTCAGTGCTCACGTAACAAGTTACACTCAAGTTTTGATGGCTGTGAAAGGTATATTGCCAATATGGAAGCTTAGTTATCACTTTGAGTATATGGAACAGTAGAGTCCTAGAAGTGAACAGATCATCTTTGAAATGTAATGTGCCCTGTGAAACCAATAAGACATCAGGTACAGTGGTGGAGCCACGCAGATCACACTCCCAGGTATGAGATGGGAGTGAGTAGATTTGTTGGTCCAGAAGGAAGAAGCCAAGCATAAGAACATCAAAGTTCATGATACCCAGCAGGTGTCTCTTCTCTCCTGCTAATTTTTCTTTTTCACATCTATATATGGGCTCCTCCACATGGCCTTCCTTCTACACCTTACTAGTTGCAGCTCTCCCAGATCCATTGACTTTTCAGTGGCTGCCAAACTGTGGTACTGGGCAGAATTGCAATGGGTTTTCCCTTCCAGGGATAGCTGTAGGACTGTATTTCTTTTAAATCTCATATAATATATATTTTTAACGATTTATTTATTTATTTATTATGTATGCAGTGTTCTGTCTGCACGCCAGAAAAGGGCCCCGGATTTCAGTACAGATGGTTCTGAGCCCCCATGTGGTTGCTGAGCATTGAACTCAGAACCTCTGGAAGAGAAGCCAGTGCCTCTGAGACATCTCTCCAGCCTCTGCCGGGCTGTAATGTAACCTCTGGATTAAATTTAATCTTGGTGGAATATCTTCTTCAGGTATATTGGTATTCTTTCAGGCAGGGACAAGGCTGCCAAGTTTTCTCTGAGTAGGGGCATGGATAGATAAGTCAAATGTTCAGTAAGTATGAAGTTGATGTTGACTTCCTGTCTGCTGGCTCTCGGATTTTTCATCAAGTGACAACAAGCTGGTGACCCAAACTCATTTTGAAGTATCATTGGGTAATGAGGGTGGAAATTAAGGACTTCTTGTTATGAAAGCAGGGTAAGAAGGAGAACAGAAAGTACAAAGCTGAACTGGCCTCGCTAAGCACTCAGTTCCTCCGCATCTTTAGGCCCATGCCCCTCTGGTGAATACATTACTGAGAGTCCAGAGAACAGTGTGTAGGAATAGCTACGGACCACTTGTGGATCATGCCATCCTCCTCGAATGTTCCCTCTGCACTCTCTGCTCACTGGCTGTCCTCCTCCTGGCACATTCTTTCAATCATTGGGCAGTCTTTTATTTGAAATTCTTGTCTGAGACACATACAGTAACCAGAGAAAAATGTAGGAAGGCCCTTCTTTGGGTCTCTAAATAGTTCACGTTAATAATTAAACTTGCCCCATGGTCATTTGTAAACTTTTACTCTGGTGCACATTTGGCCAGGAGAGAAACAGGTTGGGTGAGTTATAGTCCAACATAAGGGAGCTACCTGCATGGTAGCTGCAGGCTGGGCTGTAACCAGATAACATGGCATCGTTTACAAAGAAAAGATTTCACCTTTGAATGACAAGACAGGCACAGAACCAGGTACGGTTTGATTCAGAAAATCCTTTGTTTTCTAACTCTGCATCTCCTGCCATCATTGCATTAGGCAAAAGGAAGTGGGAAGTCTACGGTAAGAGCTTGAAAACTTTGTCTTTCAGGCTCCCACAGGAGGGAGAGCTGAGAGAGGAGGGATGAGGGAAAGGAGCGGGCAGAGAGAAAGAACCAGGAGCAGGAGGAGGACAGGATGTACAGTGTTCTCTCTGTGGTTCAAACATTCCATCTAGAGGAAATAAAAAGACAGTGAGTTTATCCTTAGGAAGGACAAGGGGACTGATGAATCTACATCCAGGGAAGTGACTGTTTTGTTTTCAGAGGAAAATAAGTGTTTAGTGAAGCCCAGTGTGGGCATGTTTATTTCCACTGTCCTAAGCTTCGCACTAGGCATTAAAATATAGTGTGCTAAAATAATGGGCCTGGATTGAACCGCATGCCATCAGACCATGTAAGCAAGATCCCGTGCCTTTGGGCTGGGTAGCAAGTTTTTCTTATCATCATTTTTTTTTTGTGGTATTTATCACAGAGAACTGGATGCTTGCAATCCAACTACAGGTTACAAATAGACTGAAGAGCGTAAGAAATTTGCAATCTACAAGAACACTTGGTAATTTCAGCCCTCCTTTCATACCTGAAAAGATGCCATGACTGAGAATGGGTACATAGACTCTCGATTTTCCTAGCTTCCAGTACGGTGGTCAGCATTTCCTGGGTATGAAGTAAACCTTCCCAGTGCTGAACTAAATGTGTTATTGTTTATTTTGAGTTAGCTTAATCACGATGTACCTGTATGATAAATTCAATGTGTTTTGGGGTGGGGAAGAAATTCTTGTTCTGGGACTATTTGGGGGTTCTGTGCTTTCTGAAATGGTGTAACTACTACATATCGAGGGGTTTTCTTAGAAATTTACATAATGTATATGTAATAAGATGGATTTACTTCTTTTACTTTTCAAACTTTCTGAGAACCTCAGAGTCAGTGTTTTAGGAATATTTGTCTATTCACTTCTGACTGGGGCTGGAGAACAGCTCGCCATCTTCCTAGAGCATCATCCAAGGGCCCAGTCAGGCTGTGTGGGTTCCGTTTTCTTTGTCATGGAGACAAAGTCACATCTTTCAGATCTGTAAAATCAGAGGTCTTTGAGTACTAAATGGGACTTTCACACTGAAACCCGTATGGGAAGGGTGGCTAGTCTCTGAGTCTCTTCACACTGCCCTCTAGAGGCAAGCCATGCATAGCAGTACACAGACAATATCTGGCTCCGGCTCTCACAAGATGTGAACTGGAGTTTTGAGGAGATCTCCTGAGTTAAGATTTGCTGGAGAATGAAACCAGGGGCTCAGAAAGCGAAGGAGGGTTAGCTGCCAGAGCAGAGGCCAACACACCGAGGCCTTACCTGGTTGCTAAGAAGAAATACATTATAGCTATCATGAAGGATTCAAATCCGACAGTCATGGGAGAGGAAGCTGGGAAGCTGGGATACGAGAAAAGAGCATGTACCCCTGTTTGGTCACTCGACATCTGACAACTAGAAACTATTTCTAGGATTCATGTGCACAATGGTGAAGTAATGAATGGTGTTGCTATTCTTCACCTGATTTAAACGTGGATTAAATCAGCTATTGAAACAAGACGGGCTGAGTGATGATTTTCCTATGTGTTCGCCCTCTCCTGAGCTTAGGAAGATGGTGGGTGCCTCCAAAGATGAGCACTTCATTCTTCCTTCCTTCCTTTTTTTTCTTTCAAATATAATGACATCACCCGAATCTCTTTAACCATTCCCACCCTCTTTTAAATTCACAGCCCCTTATTCTTTAACTATTGATATATATGTATATATACATATATGTATATATGTGTGTATGAATAAGTATGTAAGTACAAGATGATGAGCCCAGCAGTTTTTAATTGAGTGTAGTGGTGGAGCCTTATGTGATTTCCCCTACCCATGCTGGCATGTCAACTGGTGTTGTCATTATTCAGGTCTTGCTTACACAGCCATATTGTGGCAATTTCACGAGTGTAGCCTCCCTGTCATATTTACCAGATGCTGTCTTGGAGCAGACTTCCTGGTCCTCTGGCTCTTACAATCTTTCTTTCCCCTTTCTCCCTGTTCTCAGAGGTTAGGTGGAGTGGTTGTGTTGTAGATGCATCAGTGTGAACTGTGCACCCCACAGATAGTAGTTTGCTTCACTTTGACCGCTGTGGCTTTCTGTAATGGTCCCCATCTGCGGTGAAAAGAAATCTCTTGGACGAGTGAGAGCTGCACTTGTTGGGCTGGCACTACATCTGTCCCATCTTTTAGTTTTCTGTTTCAATATAGCTCATTGATGGTATATAGGCATTATGTTTTTTACTTTATGCTTAATAAGGCACAAAAGTCACATTCCATCAATCAACGCGAAAAATGCTTTTAATATCGGAGCCATCTCAAGAGGGCTAGCTAGCTGGACGTCATGCTTGCCTGGCTGATCACTCTCCTGAGTATGGAAGTTCTGCTTCTAGCAGGTAAGTAGAAAGCGTGTGAACAGCTCGCACATCAGACCACTAGGCTGCCTTGAGAGCTCTACTGATAGGAAAGTATTAATGTAGCAAGTATAAATAGCCTTGCTTGTATCCTGTAGGTAGATACAGTTTTTTCATGCCCACTTAAAATGTGAGTTAAAACATCATTTGAGAAGGAAGAATTGAAATATTTGCTTCGGGATCTGAAATAATACTTTTTTTTTTTATTCCTGTGATGAGTATCTGGGGTTATTTGTTAAATTGTTATGAGTATATATTTCAGCTTTTAGTGGCCAGTAGGGGTGGCTGTTACAATGCACATATTTTAATGATAACATGATTTCTTCTATAATCTATTTTTGAACTAGTAGATATAATTTTTATTAGATTTTATTGTTATGTATTCCCTAAGGAATTGTGTCTTAGTGATTAATGGCTCCTTGTATTAAAATCACCTTTCATTTTTCCTAATCATGCTTTCAACTTCTCAGTGAGTTTGGTAATCTTTGTATCTTATTATATTTTTTGTCTTCTTTGGACAAAGTTATCCAATCATCTTTGGGGGTCTAAGAATGGTGTGATCTGGTTGGGTTGTCATGACAATAAGTTGATGTAAATGGGTTACTGCAATTCTTAGGTGTGTAGTGAGCTACCAAATGGTTGCCTGGTCTAGTCCACAGGCAAGGTCTAGTTTATACTTGAAATTTTCTGACATGGAAATGAAGCCATTTTTTTTATAGATAACACACACATTGTTTGCTTATTATCATCTGGAGATGCCTATTATCATCTAGCTATTTTTGTTAGCCTCCTTGAAGTGGTTTTGCCTTGACCATGACAGGTCTATGAATATCCTCGAAGATGTTTGTAAGCTCAGTTTAGTCTAGCATTTCAAGCCCATACTCCTTTCCCTTTTTATTTTAAAGGAAGTTCTACAATGCTTTTACTCTAGTCCCTCAATGATCATTCAAGGAAAAGTCATGGAAGTCTTGGTAATTCTTGGGAATAATTCTAACTATGTGGTTCATCAGACTCCAAAGACAAACAAACAAACAAACAAACAAACAAACAAACAGACAGACAAACCCAGAGGACAGGTGGCAAGAAAGAAGAAAGGAAGCAGACACATCCCCAAGAAGGTTTTCCTCTTCCAAGGAAGTAGGAATAAAAGTAGTGAACTTTATATGTAAATCTGCACAGAGCGGAATAGAGAAGAGAGGCAGAGAGAGTTCACATAAGAACGAAGCATGTCTCTGAGACTGTTTCTAAGAGAAGCAGAAATTCAGAATTGTCCCCATGAACACTGAGGTTCTGGATTTCTCAAATCAGAGCAATAAATTTTCCTTAAAGTAGGACTCTAAAGAGATGTTTCTTGGACCATCAATGCCTGAATATAAGTGCACATCTTGAACCAGAAACTCTGGTAATGGGGCCTGGAGATTGATTCTTCATACAACCCTTGATTGATACATACATGCTAAAGTCTGCTTTAAGATATTGGGGGTGCTAGTGGATCATACACAACCTTCAAAACCAGTATTTTCTTTTCTTGACAGACCCTTACCTGAGTGTCCAGATTGAACCTAAGAAAGGTAGCCTTGCAGGGGGAACATGGATCACAGTTGTTTTGAATGGTAGGTTTGGGCTTCTCTAAATGTGAGTGCTGGATTTATAGATCCAAAGTTCAAAGAAGTGTGAATACTTGCCTCCTGCTCTAAGAACAGTGCTAAAAAAGGATCCAAGCAGGATGAACTGATTGTCCCAACTCTGTTTTTGCAGATGCTAACTGGCCAGTGTCATAGCAGAGGTCACTGTTGAATCAGTATCCTCTTGGTGGGGTGCTTGGGATGATGGTGAGCTGTTTTGGCAGGGATGCTAAGCACTACCTTGGCTGTTACCCTTATATAGGATTTCATGTTAGGAGCCCGTAAACCATACCCATGGCACAAAGCAGCCTGGAAGGTTGGAAAACTGTTTCCTAGAGAGTAGGAAGATATGAAGGGAGAAAGAAAATCGTAGGTTCATAATTAAGAGAACTTTTGTAAAATAACATTAACTGCCTTTGGAAATGAGTATTGATGTTATCTTCAGGCCAACACAATGTCTTACATTGCCCTCCTGTGGCCAGTGTTTGCCTTGCCCTGTATGTCTCCTCCAGATGTCTTCTTGTGTTTAGATTCAGAGAACAGCATTCTTTACCCCAACAATGGCTCTCAGCTGGAGATAGACCTGGTGAACTTGGCAGTTCCAGCCTTACCGAGGATCCCCTGTGATGTCTATCCTGTCTTCGTCGATTTGCCTGTGGTGACTTGCCAGACCAGGTACACAAGTCTGGAACACAACACCTGGCAGGATGAGTGGGCTTCCCTTTTCTCAGTAGCTTTGGGAGACATGACTCCTACAGTGCCTCCAATGATCAGGCGTGGCTTTAAAACACTCTACATGAATATACTTACATGCTTTCAAAATTCTTTTCCTTTAATCTCTCTCGGAGTAGACAACAGAAGCAGAGTTCTGTCTGTGGCAGAAAGGACAAATGAAAGAAAATGAAAATTAACCCTATCATCACACAAAAACAATCACTCTTCAATGTTCCTTTCTTTTGTAAATCTTTATTCTTGACTGTTTCATTTTATTTTTTGAGATTATAATACAATCACATCATTTCCCCCTTCCCTTTCCTCCCTCCAAATCCTCCACACACCCCACCTTGCTATCTTTCAAATTTGTGACCCCCCATCAACATCACCATTAATTATTGTTATGTGCATATATTTATATGTATACACATATCAGTCCCTAGATATTACCTGCTCAGTCTATAGTGTTATGTGTATGTGCATTTTCAGAGCTGACCATTTGGCACTAGACAACCAATTGGTGTGCTCTTGCCTAGGGAGGATCATCTCTCCTGCTCTTAGCAGGTGCTTGTAACTCTTCATTCAGGGTTGAGGCCTCATGGGGTTTTCCCCCCATTCACTTCGGCATGATTACTGTCCTTGTTCAGCTCACTTTTGGGCAGTCATGTTGGTGAGACTTTCTGGGTGTAACCTCTGACCTTTGAAGCACAATCTCACAGTAGACTCCTTGACCCCCTGGCTCTAGCAGTCTTTCTAAAGACCTCAGCATGACCTACATATGCAAGTATGTGGTCAATATTGGACAAAGTTCCATGAGCTGCGGAGAAGAAAGTATATTCTTTTGTGTTTGCTTGAAGTGATTCATCAATATCTGCTAGATAGCTTTGAATTATGACGTTATTTAACTCAAGCATTTTTCTGTTTGGTTTTTTTTTTTTTGTCCAGTTGATGTGTCTCTTGTTGAGAGTGAAAAAGTGAAGTTACCCCATCACTGTATGAGGAGCAGCATGCTATTGTAGCTGCAGTGGGGTTTCTTTTGTTAACTTGGGTGCCATTGTGCTTGGTGCATAAATACTTAGAGTTGCAATATCCTCTTGGTGAATGTTTCCTCTGACGAGTGAGCAGGTAGTATCCTTCCCTATCTATTCTAGCTATTGTGGAATTGACGTCTACTTTATCAAATATTAAAATGGCTATATCTACTTGCTTCTTGGGTTCATTTGCTTAGAATATTTTTTTCATCATTTTACCCTGAGATGATGTCTCTCTTTATGGTAAAGCATATTTCTTGGATGCAGCAGAAAAATAGATTCTGTTTTCTAATCTAATCTATTAGCCTGCATCTTTTTTTCTTATTTGGGAATTGAGACAGTTAATATTGATAGTTCATGATGGGCAGTGGTTATTGACTTCTATGTTGATATATTGTGCATTTCTGCCAATCTTTTGATTTACTGTTCTGGGATTACTTATTTCATTTGTTTTCTTCTGTGTAATTAACCTCTTCAGGCTGGTATTTTCCTTCTAGTGACTTCTGTAGGACTGGATTGAAAATTTTGTTTTAGTGTTGAGTGTTTTTTTTTTTTTCCCTCTGTCTATTGTGATTGATAGTTTTGCTGCGTATAGTAGTCTGGGTTGGTATCTGTCATCTCTAAATCTCTAAGAGTTTACTGAATATCTATCCAGGCCCTTCTGACTTTTAAAGTCTCCACTGAAAAGTCAGGTGTCCATCCATCCACTCCTTCACTGTTTCTGTTCAGAAAAGGGTAGGCCTCCCATGCATATCACAAAGTATTTTTCTAATGGTTCTGTCTTGATATCTATGTGGCTTGGTCTTTTCCATTGAAGCTTTTAACATCTTTGCTCTGTTTTGTATGTATAAAGTTTTCATTATTCTATGTAGTGAGGAATTTCTTTCCTGGTTCAGTCTACTTGGTGTTCTCTGCTTGCTTCCTGTACCTTGATAGGCATCTCTTTCTTTAGTTTGGTGATTTAATTCAATGATTTTGTTTAAAATATTTCTGGGTCTTAGACCTGTGTTACTTTGATGTCTTCTATTTCTATTATTTATAGATTTAGTTTTTCAATGGTGTCCCAGATTTCCTGGATCTTTTGTGCCTTTTTTTTTAGATGTAACATTTTGTTTGACTGAGGTATCCATTTCTTCTACCTTGTCTTCAATGCCTGAGGTTCTTTCTTCCATGTCTTGAACTCTGTTGATGAGGTTTATCTTTAAATTATTTATTTAACTTCCTACCTTTCTCGTTTCCAGTTTTATCTCGGCTTGGGTTTTTTTAGTGATGCTAGTCCTATTTTCATGTCTCAAACTGTTTTCATTACTTCATTCCACTCTCTCTTTGTGTTTTCATAGACTTCATTAAGATATATTCATAGCCTCTTTAAGATCCTAGAACATACTCATAATTCTATTTTGAAGTGCTTGTCTTGAGCTCTTAAAGTCCTATGAGCTTATAATTGTGAGCTATTAAGCTCTTAAGTTTAAAGGACTTTCTTCTTCATCATCATCATCATCATCATCATCATCATCATCATCATCAACAACAATAACAACAACAACAAGAAGTACAGTTTCTCTTGGTGAGGACTTGGCCCAAGTGGAGCTCTAGGGAGTAGTAGATCTAGGTGGTAAAAAGTGAAATATAGAGATATTCCCTCAGCTCCATCTTACAAATACAGGGGCGAAGTGGGAAGCAATCAGGTGGGAACTCTTGTGTGTGTGTGTGTGTGTGTTTTAATTCATAAAGATTTCTGTTTTCTGTCCCCAGATCTCTGCTGTCTGAAGCTCATGCAGGACAGTACTCTCTGGAGATACGCTCTGGGGAGCGAGTGTTAGGCGGCCCATGTTCGGGATCACTGGATGGCTGTACTTTCAAGGTAGGTTCTGAGGAGAGAGGAATGTGTGAGAGGAATTGCTCAGATAGAAGGTATGTTATTGATAATAAGTTATAAATCAACAGCATGTCTGCTTTAATAGGGAAGAAGAAATATAGAGAGAATGTTAGGGTTTTTCTGACACTGTGAAGGATAAATACTGACTACTTGTATGTCAGGCTCTAGTGAGTGCCTTCTGTATATTGTGTAGTACAAGGCTCCTGAACTGATTATGGAACCATCTAGTATGCTTGCTACATCACCCAGGCAGTAAGTGGCAGAACCAGGATTCAAACTCTCATGTGACTGGGAATCCACATTGAACCTGAAGCTCATGCAGGAGCCTCAGACAATGCCTTTGTGGACAAGTGCCATGTCTTTAACTGATTCTGAGTGTTAGAATACTGAAAGAACTCAGGGGTCCCAGGTCCTTTGAGGGACCCAATCTCCCTGCCCCCTGCTACAGGGCACCTTTTTCTGTTCTTCCTGACACTAGTCTGAAAGGCCCTTTGCTGCTGGAACTCTCCTTCACAGTCAGGCAGATCAAGAAGGCAAGATGGCAGACCTGAGAGCAGTTTCCTTCAGTCCAGCATCTGATATTATTTAATTTAGACCCTTCATATGTAGATTAGGCTTACTTTTATGTTTGATCAGCCTAAAATCTTGTAGGAAAGTGTGCTGCAAGAGAACAACCTTTGCAGCAGGCACTCGTGAAAGGTAGTGCTCCAGCAGTGCTCCCAGTGGTGCTCAAGAGCTCTGCTTAACAACTACAGAGAACAGAACTGAGTCATTAGGTCATGCTGCTTTACAGTCAAGACCAAACTCAACTTGACTATCAGATCAGCACTAACTTTTTGAAATTTGGAATTTGTTGTCCAATCACAGTTAACAATGTGATCCTCAACCCAAGAGAATATTACTGTCTAAAGAATTTGTCTCTGTAAGTACATAGCGAAAGGAAGAAACAACGTTCCATTATTCATTCTCCTTAAGAACCGTAGCCCCACCTCTCCCGGGCTCAGGGACCATCAGAGAGAAGTGTCTGAGCACTCCCGAAACACCAGGCTCCCTTCGCCTCAGGAAGTACTTATTATAAAGATCAGTAAGGACAGGGGTGGTGGAAACACACTTCCCGAAATTGTGCATTAAAGAAAACAGGTCGAGCAGTGTCTCTGCTAACTTGCTGAGTTGATGAACTATCAACAGGGGATGCAGTTAATGAGAGGCGCTTGAGTGAACTAAGATGCAGTGTGCCTTTCTGCTTTGGGACTGGGACTGAGGGAACCATGGGTATTAAAAATTAATTCCATCTTGCCAGCCCACTCCAAAGAGCCTGCTGCGGGCACTGACAAGTCTGAAGGACTCACAGAAGGTTTATCAGGCAGCTGGCGGCTGTGACTTTATCCTCCTAATCCGCTGGTTTTGCCACCCCTTTCTGGCCCACCTACCTTCCCATCTTGCTGCTGCTGACCTCACTGGGTTCAGGGATCAGCAGGTAGGCAGCCTGCTTTGGAAGCTCATTAATTTCTTACTGTTTTGTCTCCAGCCTAGTGGGTGACCAGAATTCTGTTTCTCTGAGAAACAGTACTATTTTATGTTTTATGAATACAGAGAGAATTGCAAGTTAAAAATTGCATTGTGGTTTAACCCTAAATACACCCCAGGACTCTCTGAGGACTGGGAAGGAAGCAATGAGTCTATATGTCCCCACTAACTTCTTGAAGGATGGCAGATGTCACAGCACATCTATTTCAAGTTGGAAACCTAGAGGTGTGTGTCAGTATTTGCTTTGAAGTGATCTGCTCCATCTGCCTCAGTTTTTAATGAGTGCAAGGAAGGGCATCAACAACTTCTTTCAAATTCCAACGGAAGTCACTTCGGAAGGAAGGGCCTCCCCGTGGGAGAAGAAAGGTAGAGAGCAGCTATTGGGTCGGGTTGGCATCATGTGTGGAACTGCATTAATTTTTATCCTCTGTTGAGATCACAGCGAGTTCTTAATCTGTGAAGTCACAGTAGCCTTCTCGGGACCCCCTGACTGTGCGTGTTTTCTGTGAACTAGTTTCTAACCCTTTCCCATAAAGAATGGGGAAAATGGCCTTGGTGGCAAACTGTGCTGTGTAGATCAATACTTACACTCCACACTCAACAGGGCACCATCGTCTTGGTTGAAAAGCCTTTTCATTCCAGATGCCTGATTAGGGCCGTTGATTAACCACGGTTGTTCTCTGGTAATCGTCTCCCTGGGAATTTGGACTCCCAGGAAGCTGGATGCAGCCCAAACAAAACAGTTTGCTGTAATTTGTTTTGTAAGTGGGAAGCATTGTAGGTGTTTAGAAAGGAAGCAGCCTAGGCATCTAGTATGGCGATTAAGTCTCTTTCCTGAGTGAAACATTAACTCCTGGGTCAAATCTTGGTCTGATCAGTCCAGCCTGCTACGTATGTGTCTCCATTTCCTCACGTAGCCTGGGACGCAGCAAGGCTCTACTCTTAGCCTAACCTAGACTTCTGGAATTATCTCAAGCCCCCTTTCCTTCTCAGCAGTACACCAGTCAACCATGAATGGGCTCTTAGATGGATTGACAGGAGTACAGACGTCTTCTACATTTCAGGCCAGGCAAAGCAAGCACAATGTTTTAAGAAAGGGACATTGTAAGTTGGTTTTGAGTTTCCATGACTAGGCTTCAGCATGTTCCCACTTCTTTCATAAATGTTATTTCCCTCCTGTGTTTGTGCATGTGCATGTGCATGTGCGTGTGCGTGTGTGTGTGTGTGTGTTCACACGTGGGCTTGGTGAACATATGCAGTTCAAAGGAGAATCTTGGGTTTCTGTCTGTCTTTTGCTTCTACCTTGTTTCAGTCAGACTCTCTGCTGCTTTTCCACGAACCTCCAGAGAATCTGTCTCCACTTCTCAAATCACTATAGGAGCACCAGGATAACAGATGCATCTGACTTTCTGTGGGTCGTGGGGATTCAAACTCAGGTCCTCACGCCTACATGACAAACGTCTTATTCACTGAGCCATGACAGAGCCATGGCCTCCTTCTTGAAGAACAGTGTTCCTTCTCATTTCTTGAATATTTTCCCACAAACAGGTGCCTTTTGTTTTTCCAACTTTGCTCATATATATATCCAACTTCCTATTATGGCTAGCTGGCAATAATTTAAACTACCCCCTTCCTGCTTAAAATTAATTCTTTTCTAGGTAAATATGAATCTTTACGTCTCAAAGCTATTAGATTATAGTAATGGAATCAAAAGAGTGACACTCTGGATCGTACCTTATCCACCTTTCTTTTTGGCAAAATATGTCCTTGGGTGTGGCAGGTAAGTAGATAGAAAGAGGTTTGCAAGATATTAATTGTATGGTACAGGGTAGAGAGATGCATGGCCTCGAACAGAGTCCTTGAACTCGTCTGCAGAACATAATGATGCCCGTCATTCCTGCTTCGTGGGACTAGCGTGAGGATAACAAGAAGCAGGTGTGACGTGATCAGGGCAATACATCCTGTTCTCCACTCCTGCTTTCTGAGGACCAGTTTGTGGCTTTTGTGGTCAAGTGGATTCTAATAAAATGTTCCCTTTTGATGATACTTTCAGTTTTCCAAGGCACAGACACCTGTTGTATATCACGTTAACCCGCCAAGTGGAGTTCCAGGTAAGACCTCTTCTGCTAACCATGAATAATCGTGAATCTCTTTGCCAACCTTGTAAACACTTGTACCAGTGTGTGGTCTCTATAGTCCATTAGCTTCTTATTTTGAAAATAAGTTTTAGCTTCTGGTTTCTTAAATTAGTTTGTTTTTTCCCTTTAAGTACTTTTGTTCTATGACCTTACTGATAACAACAATTCCAAAACATGATAAAAAAAAAAAAGAGACAGTCTGACAAAATCCAAAGTATTGAACACAGGAGCCTGCAGAATATAGAAATCACCACCACTCATTTTATTCCCACATGAAATAGTCCATCCCAGAACTCCTCACTGAACCCTTACTGTGTGCTAACTTACGTTTTTAACTCTCCATATGTATTATTATCTGAGGATCACAAAACCTGATGCTACGGGAACTATTTCTCATATTGAAGAGAAAGAAATGAGGTATCTGAGGATTAAATTGTTTCTTCAAAGTAATGGTTCTCAACCTTGCTAAATGTTGCGACCCTTTAATACAGTTCCTCAAGTTTTTAAGTCCCCACCCATAAAATTATTTTGTTTCTGCTTTATAACTGTAATTTAGCTGCTGTTGTGAATCATAACATAAATATCTGCTATGCAGGATATCTGATATGTGACCCCCCCACCCAAAGGTGTTGAGACCCACAGGTTGAGAACTGCCACTTTAAAGTCCTATCAGGAATAAGTGTTGCAGCTGAGGTTTGAAGTGAGATAAAGCCCGTGGATGTTACTATTTTGACGTGTGTCAACTGGTAGTGGATACAGCTCAGAATGCTATTAACCTTGATGTTTACCTGAAGATTTGTTCGTGAGTTAGAGAAACACAGACATATGTACTTGATCTTAGTTAAAAGACTTGGAAAGGACGAAACACAGGCATATTAGAGTCAGAAGGGTGGACAAGGAGGTTTTGCAAGGGTAGGGGATTTACAAAGAAGAAGCAGATGCTCCGAGACATAGACCCAGTAACTTTGTAAGTTTTCTTTAAAACTGAATAGTAAACACAGATTTTAAAAATGTACCTTACTATTTTTTTTAATGGGCAAATTCCTATGTGTACGTATATATCAGATTTTTCATTTGTTCTGTATTTTCAGTAAGGTATCCAACTGGGAACATCATTGCTAATTTTAAAGAAATCATTACATTTGCTTATTTCCATATCTTTAGTGTGTGTGCGCGTACCATGTACATGTGCACAGGTATCACAGCTTGTGTGTGGAGGTCAGATGACAACTTTCAGGAGCTGGTTCTCTCCTACTACCGTGTGGGTTCAGGGATGAAGCTCAGGTCACCGTGTTCAATGGGGCGTGCCTTTTAAAACCCACTGAACCATCTTACAAGGCCATGTTGCTAGGTTTTTAGGTATGATTATGTCAGACTGCATAATTTGATCTAATTGTTTTTGAAGTGATTGACTGGTTAAGATAATAAGAATGAATATCTGTGTTACAGACAGTGTTTTCATGTTACAGTGTTTAGGCAAAATTTATGTATGTGTGTATTTAAAATATATTCTAAAGAACAAGAATTTGGCATTATCTTACTAATATGATACTTTCACAGATATATTCCATTGCATTCGTTTGATTAACCAAGACATGGTCACGTCTCATGAAAAAGAATGCAAACTGTGACAGTTATACAGTTATTTGGGTTCCTGGTGTCTGTCTGTAGAAGGCTCCAGATAAGGTGACAGACATCTTATTCTGATGAGGGATGAATAAGGAGCCATTGGCAACATGAGGTGGGATGTCAGCTGCTCTCCAGATCTGTCAAACCTGTTTGTCTCGCCAAGGTGGAGTTCTGCACACTGTCTCTTTCATCTTCTGGGGGGAACGATTGGTGGCTGGCCTTGTCAGAGTGGTCCCTCAAGGCATAATCTGGTTGCATCTCTGCAATCACTTTCTAGACAATTACTCTCATTTCATTTGGGATGCTTGCCCAGAGTAGCAGCCAGGGACATGCAGAATGAGGTAGCTACATACAAGATGGCGTTTTACGGGTTGTTGGATTTTTCTAAGTACTTAACAGTCCTTCACTGTGGCGTGCAATCCCCTGGCACTGGGCTCTGCTTTGCCCATTTGTCAGCCTCTGTTGGGCTTCTCTGTTTATGGACAAAGACCCTATGGGATTTTCTAATTTCTGTAACCTGCTATTTATTTTCAAGTGGAACATAACAAAACTTGACCTCTTCCCAGAGAACTTGGAAGCCAATCAGGCAGCTTCATTCACATTAAGGAGAACTATTCTGCCCATTTAGCAGCAGCAGGAGATTTATGGGAACTCTAACCTTTGTCTCAGTCATTAAGGACCCACCTTTTCTCTTTATGCACCTATAAGGTTCGGTGCTAGCCATGTAATGACCACAGATGAAAGTCGCTCTCACCAATGACACACACAACAACATGAAGAGAATCCAGAGGTGCAGCAGCTGTAAGTGCTCATGGAGAAACTCAGAGTTTTCTGGACACAGTGACCCCAAGTATCTCTTGAGGTTTTACTGAACTAACACTACCCCTCTCATCTGCGAAGCTAGTTTATGATAATATTACTGCCTGTATATCTTGAGTAGCTGGTGTTATAGGAACTCGACAGTCCATGACTCACTCTGTCTTTGAACAGCATATTTGCTGAGTGAACGACATATGTCCATTATCTGGACTGTAGCCTTAACTCTCTTGCTGTTTTGTGCTTATCTTTAGCTCCTGTCTGTTTGGCTCATGAGGGTCTTTTGTCTTTTGTACTTTGAGATATGGAAGATAATTAGGATCCTTGAAGACTAATCAGAGATTGTGTGATACGGCCTCTTCATTTAGCTTTTCGTTTTGTGTTCTCATTTTTATTAGTTCTTTGAGAATTTCTCACAATATATTTTACTACATTTATCCTCTCTTCCCACTCTGTCCAGATTCACTTCCCCTTCCTTACCCATGCAGCTTTGTGTTTTATTTTATCTTCCTTATAACAAACAAATACCAAGTGCAATTTATGCCCCTGGACTTTTTGGGGTGGCCTTCCACTGGAGTGTGAATGACTTACCAGGGGCCACACTCTTAAAGAAAATTATGCCTCCTCTCTCTGCAGCTTCCTGTTGCCAGTAGCTCTGTATCTAGGGGTAGAGTTTCATGCTAACCTCCCTTATTCCAGGCTAGCATGTTGTCTGCTTTTAGCTTGCACATGTTTTGTGCATGCTGTTTCCTCTAGTGCTGTGAGTTTGTTTGTTCCGGCAACTGACCCATTGTGTCTGAAAAACACTGTTTCTTAGTCACCATCCCTGCCTCTAACTCCTATAATCTTTTTACCCCGCTTCCACAATGATCCTTGAGTACTTGGGGGGGGGAGGGGTGTGATATGGATATTCCCAGATACAGCTAAATACTCCATATGCTTTATATGTTGACCAATTTTAAGTCTCTGTGTTAATCGCCATCTATTGTAAAAAGAAGCTGCTTTCATGAGTGTTGAGAGATATTGCACATAAAACACAAACACACACACACAGAGGATATCATTTATTATTTAATGTGTGCACATGCTGTATATGTTCATATCAAAATATGCATATCTGTCTCCTCAAAGATATTTTTGAAGATACTCAAAGTCTTTCTAGATTTTCAAACATAGTGCACTGACATTATTAAAGTCACCAAATTGTGCAGTAGAATACCAGGACTTATTTTTCCCCTCTCACTGGAACTTAAGCTGCCATTTGTCAACCTTGGCTTATCCCTCTTTCTCACTGATTCTTCCCAGCCTGTTCTTCCCAGTAGAATAGGTAGGTACTATTCTACTCTCAACTTCTGTGCAATCAATGTTTTAGGTATTCCATTATTTTAGCCTTCCTGGTGTGTAACCTTGATTACTGGATTCTAACACTCATTTCACATTTATATAATTTATTAAACCTGTTAATTTTATACACCCGTGCCTTGGTTGGGTATATGCAACAAAACAAAGGCTAGTAGAACTTATGTCACTCATTTGGAGTTTGCGCTAAGCTCATTGCATTTTGAACTGTTTTTTAAAACAGGACAAGTAATACAGGTGTATGGCTGGATCATTGCTGACCAGTTGGAAACCCTTGATCCTGAGGCAAACTACATTGACAGGTAAGCCTAGGTTTGTTCCTGTGTTCACCTGGCTACTCGTGTGCAGATCGGTAGCTTCCTCTGCAGCAGCAAATTGCAAGGGCCCTGCACAGAACTGCCATTTTTCTCTATGCAGTTTATGGTCCCTGGTGCACCAGATTTCAGCTTTTACTTTGTGAATGTTTTGCAACCTCCAGATTTTTTTGAGTTTTTTATTTTTTTCTGAGAAGTAAAAACTGGGCATGTGAACGGCACTGTAACTGCATTCAAGGGTTTTCCTTTCTGATTCTTACCCTTCCTTTCACCCATCCTCTCTTAGGTTAAAGTAACACTAAACTTCATTAACTCCTCCTTTTAATCATTGCCCATGCATGCATTCAGAAGTCCTGTTAGTGGGATGAGAGGGAAGTGTGGGCTCAAGTTCCAAAGAGGGAAGGAACCATGGGCTCAGGTACTAAAGACTGTGTAGCTTGTAATGTGTATTGGGAGTGATTAAATGTGAACATGCCTTTCTTTAATGGCTATTTTAGAAGTATAAATTGTTGCAGACTGCTCCCCTTCCCCTGGGTTCCCCACTAGGGCCCACAGCCCAGCAGCTTTACTGGAGGCTAGAGTGGTCCTAGGGACCCTAGGGAAGACACTGTCCACTGCCCTCTAAACTCCTGTAAGCCTGTGCAACACCTCCAAACTGCACCCTCACCCCTGGGCTCCATATCCAGGTCTACCACAGAAGCAGACTTCAGCTTTAAGGAGTACAGGCTGGATCTAGAGTGCCCAGTCCCAGCACCTATACTGGAGGCCAGGCTGGTCCTAGGGATCCCAGAGGCTAGATCAGATCTAGGGACCATAGACTCACCCTTCCCCTGAATTTCATCTCCTGATCTACAACTTTGCAAGAAGACTTTGGCTGAACCAGAGGCCAGAAGACCAGAGAGGAAAGAGAAATCATGGAACAAAACACACATACAACAAAGACGAATGCAGGAATCAACACCAATCATCCCAAATGCAAATGTCTAAACGCCAGTGTAAGAACACAATCAATAACAGAAAAGACACTATGGCATCTCCAGAGCCCTGCCATCCACAAAAGCAAGACCTGAACAATTCAACACAGCTGAAGCACAAGAAAACAATCATAGTGGTGATATGTGCCCATAATTCCAGTTCTTGGGAGGCAAAGGCAGGTGGATCTCTGTGAGTTCGATGCCAGCCTGGTCTATAGAGAAGTTCCAGGATAGCCAGAGCTGTTACACACAGAAACCCTGTATAAAACAAAAATAAAGAAAATATTCTTAAAAGTGAATTTATAAAGATGATAGAGGTCCTGAAAGAAATGAAGAAATCCCTTAAAGAAATTGAGGGAAAGATAAACAAAAATTGGAAGAAATCAATAAATTCATAAAAAAAAAAACAGCCAAAGCAGAGCATGGGGACCATGGAAGAAAGTTGAAGGGTAGAGGAGAGGCAGGGAGGGGAGTAGAGAAAAATGTATAACTCAATAAAATCAATAAAATAATAAATAAATTTAAAAAAAGACAAAAACAAACAAATAAAGAAACTGCCAAGATCTGAAAATGGAAATAAAAGCAATCAATAAAACACAAGTGAGGGGAATTCTGGAAAATGGAAAATCTGGGTAAGTGAACAGGAACTATAGATACAAGCATCACCAACAGAATACCAGAGATGGAAAAAAGAATCTCAGGCATTGAAGACATAACAGAAGAAATAGATTCAAAAGTCAAAGAAAATGTTAATTCTAAAAAATTTGTAACACAAAACATCCAGCAAATCTGTGACACTGTGAAAAGACCAGATATAAGAATAACAGGAATACAAGAAGAAGAAACACTTCTCAAAAAACCAGAAAACATATTAAACAAAATAATAGAAGAAAAATTTCCCAACCTGAAGAGAGACATGCTTATGAAAGTATAAGAAGCTTACAGAACTCCAAATAGATTGAATTAGAAAAGAAAATCCTTTTTGTCATATAATAATCAAAACTCTAAACATATAGAACAAAAAAGAATACTAAAAGTGGCAGAGGGAAAAGGCCAAGTAACATAAAAAGCAGGCCTATTAGAATCACACCTGACTTTTTAGTGGTGACTCTGAAATCCAGAAGGACCTGGACTGATACCTTGCAGGCTGTAAGGGACTACTGATGCTAGCCCAGATTATATACCCAACAAAACTGTCTGTCAAATCACCATAGATGGCAAAAACAAGGTATTTCATGACAAAGTCAAATTTTTTTTTAAAAAAAAAATCTATCCACAAACTTAGTCTTACAGAAGGTACTAGAAGGAAAACTCCAATCCCAGGAAGTTAACTACACCCACAAAAACACAGGCAATAGGTAATCTCACATGAGCAAAACCCAAAGAAGGGAAACATACAAACACAGAAACACAGAGACACACAGATACACACACAGACACAAACACACACACAGAGACACAAACACACACACACACTACCACCACAAACAACAGGATAACAGAAATCAGCGATCAATGGTCATTAATATCCCTCAATATCAATGAACTCAATTCACCAATAAAAAGACAAGACACAGGGTAACATAACGAGTGTGAAAGCAGGACCCATTTTTCTGCTGTATGTAAGAAACACACCTTCACATCAAAGATAGACATTACCTCAGGGTAAGAGATTGGAAAAAGATTTTCTAATCAAATGGACCTAAGAAGCAAGCTGGTGTAGCTATCCTAATAGGTAACAAAATATACTTCCAACCAAAATTTATCAAAAGAGATGGAGAAGGATATTTCATATTCATCAGGAAAAATCCACAAAGATGATGTTTCATTTCTGAACATTTATGTTCCAATTGTAAGGGTACCCAAATTTGTGAGACATTACTAAAGCTTAAATCACATATAGATCCCCACACAATAATAGTGGGAGAATTTAACACCCGACTCTCAGCAAAGGGCAGGTCATCCAGACAGAAATCTAGCAGAGAAATAACAGAACAGATGTATGACTCAAGTAGACTTAGCAGACATCTACAGAACATTTTACTCAAACACAAAAGAATATGCCTTCTTCTCAATACCACATGGAAACTTCTTCAAAACTGACCTTATACTCAGTCACAAAATAAGTCTCAAGAGATACAAAAAACTGAAATAACCACCTATGTCATATCAGACCACCATGGATTAAAGCTGGATTTCAACCACAGAAACAACAGAAAGCTGACAAACTCATAGAAACTTAACTCTCTATGGAGTTAACACTGGGTCAAGGAAGAAATAAAGAAAGTAGTTAAAGACTTCCTAGAATTCAACAAAAATGAGGGCACAAGGTACCCAAATAATGGATTAATATAAGTTATAAGAGTTAATAAGAAGCCTGAGCTAATGGGCCAATCAGTTTATAACTAATGTAGACCTCTGTGTGATTTTTTTTGGGACCTAACGACTGCAGGATCCAGGCAGGACAGAAAGCTCAGACAACAGTCTCCTACTCTTTTGATGGCTTTTGGGACCATACTACTCATATTGGGTCACCTTGCCAAGCCTTAATATGTTGCAAGGAGGGGCTGCTTGTTCATCCTGGCTGCCCAGCTAGCTGAGCCCTGAAATGTCCACACAGAAACTGTATTAATTAAATCACTGCTTGACCCACTAGCTCTAGTTTCTTATTGGCTAATTCTTTTTTATTTATATATTTATTTATTAAAGATTTCTGTCTCTTCCCCACCGCCGCCTCCCATTTCCCTCCCCCTCCCCCAATCAAGTCCCCCTCCCTCGTCAGCCCAAAAAGCAATCAGGGTTCCCTGCCCTGTGGGAAGTCCAAGGACCACCCACCTCCATCCAGGTCTAGTAAGGTGAGCATCCAAACCGCCTAGGTCCCACAAAGCCTTATTGGCTAATTCTTACACCTTAATTTAACCTATTTCTATTAATCTGTGTATTGCCACATGGCAGTGGCTTATCAGGTAAAATTCCTAGCATCCATCTGCAGCTGCTCCATGGCAGCTCTCCTCCACTCTGCCTTTCTTCCCCGCCTACCTAAGTTCTGCCCTATCAACCAGGCCAAGGAAGTTTCTTTATTCATTAAGAAATGAAAGCAACACACAACCAAAAGGAACTCCTACACCATTAATACACGGGGAGGTGCTTAGTCTTACTGGACCTTAGTGTGCATGTTTTGCTGATACTCATGGGAGACCTGTCACCTCCTAAAAAGAAACAGAGGAGGAGTGAATTGCAGGGTGGGAACAAAGGGTGGTGGGGTGGTGGGGAGAAGAGGAGGGAGGGAAAACTGCTGCCAGGATATATGTTTGCATATAGTATAAAACATTACTATGAAATCATCTGTGCTGGGGAGAAGACCAGAGTTCATGGGGCACTCTAGACAGCTGCTGTCACCCAACAAACTCAGCAATCATAGTGATGATTTATAAATCAGAAGAACCATTTCCTCATTATTTACCCAATTGCATGCTGTCTATATTGTGTGTCTAATTTTTTCTTCACCCCTAAAGGTCTTAGAGGCGTTTCCTATTGCTTCTCTATCTTTTTCATTCTGTACTCTATTTTTAGCATTAAGAAATGCTTAACTTCTTTTTTTTTTTTTACTTCTTTTAATAAAAAAAATGACTCTACTGGGAACAGAAAGTCCAAGAACACCCTTAGCTAATGTGCCATTTTCACTGCTTGGATCTATCTCAGCCTTAATTTGGGGTTCAGCTTTTAAAAGGAGACAATGAGGGCACATGCTCAATAACTGTGCAGACAAAGCATTGCCATCATGGAGATGAGGGGAAATTTGGGATAAAACTCCATTAGCAGTGATGGAAGCATAGGCCCTAAGGGTACCTCTACTGTCCCCGGGAGGAAAGTTACCATCTTCACCTAGTCCCCTGCAGTGGTTCTGGTTAGGCTTAGAGGAGAAAGTTCACAGCATTCAGTCTTTTGGCAGCTGTGTTTACTGGGAACACTAAGCTATTATTTTTTGTCTTTGTTTTTCTTTTCTGCCCTCCAATCCAGCCCATTGATCCTGGAAGCTGGCAAAGACAAATGGCTTACTCCTTGTTCTGTTGTCAATAAGCAGACAGGAAGCTGGTGAGTTGTTTTTGTTGTTACTGTTTCCTTGTGAACAAGTGTTCTTCCCTTTTCTTCCACAGCACATCCTCAAAAGCATAGACTGATCTTTTTAAAAATGTAAGTCAAGTGCAACAGTTAGCTGTCTTATCTTTAAAGTCACTGGAAAAGATGAAAGAATTGGGAATCAGTTGAAAATAAAAATTAGATCAGAATCTAAAACCTTTTGTGAAAACAGGTAGGCCCTGTTTATTTATTTTATTTATTTTTTATTTTTTTTGAGACAGGGTTTCTCTGTGGCTTTGGAGCCTGTCCTGGAACTAGCTCTGTAGACCAGGCTGGTCTCAAACTCACAGAGATCCGCCTGCTTCTGCCTCCCGAGTGCTGGGATTAAAGGCTTGCGCCACCATCGCCCGGCTAGGCCCTGTTTATTAAAGGCACAGGCCCGTGCCAAGGCTTGTCCAGTGCTCTGCACTGAAGTTAGTCAATCATCGTGTGATACGTGCATATGATTATTTTTTTTTCAGAGCACACAGGATTTCAGAGAGCAAGCAGCAGAGTTGAGCCTGTATCCCTGTGTGACTAACTAGCATCCATAATCCATGTCCTAATCACTGTGACTATAATGACCAGGAATGCTTTACCTGAAACGTGTTATCCTTTACTCCCTTTTAAAACGCTTGTGATGTTCATGTTGTGTATGCATGTTTTCATGTGTATGGGGAATGTATATATGAGTCTTTACATGTGCATACATGTAGTTTCAAGTTTGGTGTGTGGAATTATAATAGATCTATTTCTCACCCTTCCTGTTCAAAGAGACAGGCCCTCTTAATAAAAGCCAGAGCTAGGTTTGACTAGCCTTGCCCACACAAAGTCCCATTATGACATATTTTAAAAAACATTGTCTACATGCTCTAGGTCATATAGCCACAATTTGACTAGATGTTTACTTTGATTTCAACCAGGTGGATTAATTTTCCTTTGTGGTTATTATAAGAATTGTGTGCTATGGCCTGGCTTCTTGGGCTGAGTATTTAGTGAAGCCACAGTCTATTCTATAGTTTTTTTTCCCTAATGTCTTCAATTCATTTGCATGAAATTGTCTGTTTTTAACTCTTATCTTTGATAGATTTTATTTTACTCATCATAAAATAGATTTTGGAAAAAAATCCCTAGAAATTAGGAGTAAGTTAAGTCTTGATTCCCACACTCTGCATTTGGCATGTGACTTATATGTTGACAACTCTAGTTAGTATTATCATAAGTATTTGACCATGACCTTACTATGCCTTCAATATGCTTCAGTTTCTCTGGCTAATTTGACTTCTATATATTGTTTTCTTAAATAGTTTGGTATTCTAAGAAATTTCCTGGTTATTCTTACTTCAATATGTTTTTCTCAGTTTTCCCATCCAGGAGGAACATGGCCTTGGAACTGTGCAGTGCCGTGTGGAAGGCGACTACATTGGTCTGTTTTAGAGCTAATTATTTAAAAGACTCATCCATTTCTTTCTTGATAATCCAGAAATGTGAAAAATATTCTTCAGATAGAATCATGATAATAATAATTGCTACAAAAATAACTTTAAAAAACACTACACCAAACAACTTCCTTATCAACCGATTTATTTGTCATAATCAGTGATTTTACTTTACAAGCGATTATATAGACAATGTCCACTAGTATGTTAGGATTTAAATCATGCTTCATCTCAGTCTAAGCCCTGGGCTTTATTTGACTTACATGTGTCCATTTTGTCATGAAAGTCCATGAGATCTTTTCTTGGGCAACATAAAAGAAATTCCAGGCTTGGACAGTAATGATGATGTAGGAGCATTAAGCCTAGGGTAGCAATATCCTGGCCTAGGAGATTCATGTGTAGACCTGTATTCATAGTTATTTCCTTGTGTTTCAGGTTCCCAAAATGTTAGTTTCTCAGTATTTAACAAAGGGAGGTAAGTAACTGGGGCAGACAAATCTGTCTGTCTTGTATTATGCGTAACATCCTGTATACTACTCTCGTCTTTCCAATTGTACACCAATAGAATATAGAAAGTGTCCTACATCTCCTTGGTTTCCTTCACTTGAGTGAGCATTGTGCTCTGTCTTACCTATGGGCATCACAAATGTTTCAGTACAGGGACGGTACAGAATTTTAAGGACTAGTCCTTAAGTCAAAGGAGAATGCTGATGTAGCGCTCACATGTGTTGTGGGATGCAGTTTTGCTGAGACTCATTGTGTCTTTATAGGCGTTGCCTTGTTCAAGACATAAAGAGTTCATATTTCATCATTCTTTGGAGACTCAGATAAATTAGGATTCGGGATTTCTATGTGCACCTTTATTCTTGTTCTGCTAGATGTTTTTGCCCTTGAAAGTGCATTGTTTCTTATTAATTAATTTTATTGTGTTTATATTAACAACTACACAAGGGTATATAACTCAAAGTTTGGATTTGCTTTCTCTTTCTTCTCAGCTTGAAAGTGATCTACTGTATTGTAGAGCTCTACTGTATCTATTTATCCAGTGTAGGAATCTACTGTATCTATCTAGTGTACGTTATCTCAGTATCAGGTCCATTCACGTTTGCTGTTGCCTTTAATGCTTCTAACGTTCTAAAAAAGAGAGATTATTCCCATACAACCATTTTATCTATGAGAAGAGTTTGTATCCATTGATACTGTTTTCTCATTATCAAAGGCAGCTGGTGTCCAAACTGTTAAATTTATTGGAGGTTATTCTGTGAACTTCCTTTCAAGCAGTCAGTTTTTTTAGAAAATGCAACAGTAGGTGACATTTTACCAAAAGCCTTCATTTTCCTTTGAAGGTCGATGGTGCACAAGGAAGCCTGGCTGATCAGTGCTAAACAGGACCTGTTCCTATACCAGACACACTCAGGTACTCTGTCCCTTCATCCTGTCTTCTTCACCCAATGTTAGACTCTCCTTTTTTTTTTTTTTTCCTATGGCAGTTTTTCTTTGGCCATTAACATAACATCTTGATTCAGGTTGAAATGAAGTTGCTTGAGTCTGTGTCAGCTGGTATTTACAGTCCTGCTTTGTTTATTGATGTTCTGAGGAAGCATCATTAGGTGCTTTTGTTACCATGTTTTCCTCATAGCTTTCCTGCACACAAATGCAGATGCTGGGCCGGGCGTTGGTGGCGCACGCCTTTAATCCCAGCACTCGGGAGGCAGTGGCAGGCAGATCTTTGTGAGTTCGAGACCAGCCTGGTCTACAGAGCTAGTTCCAGGACAGGCCCCAAAACCACAGAGAAACCCTGTCTCGAAAAACCAAAAACCAAAACAAAACAACAACAACAACAAAAATCAAATGCAGATGCTGCAGCTTAACTATGCATTGTGCCTACTTCATGCAAGTAGGAGATGAGGAAAACATGACATGCATGAAGCTGGTGCCACTGTAATGAAGCACACTGTTTTACAAGGAGCTCTTTATTTTATAAGCAAGAATAATAACCATCAACAGCATAAAAAAGTATAGGAATAGTATAATATAATAAGCAGATCAATGCAATTTAAATGAACTATTATTAAATCTAGATTGTACATGTTTGTGTTAGGCTTTTTATTGCATTTTAACACTGTGTTATTGTATGACAGTTTAATAATTTGTGTAGCAAGTTGCAGTTATTTCACTTCCCATTCCATTCGTTCATCCTCCCCCAATGGCAGCATAGTAGGTTTATATGCACCAGCAACACCACAGATATGTGTGGTGTGTACTGTGATACATCCTTACAGACATGACAAGAAGTTTTCAGCACCAGTGCAGTCTATGGGACTACTGATATAGATGTGAACTGTTGTGGGTAGATGTCTTGTCAAGCGCTGCATCCAAAGAGGCTCAATCGTAGATGTCTATGCGAAGTCTATGGATATAGACAGAATGAAATAAACAATAGTCATGTCGTCCTCTGTGTTCTAAAAAAAAAAAAAAGAACAGAATAAAGGTGGTGGTTAAAAAATTTAACAGGATGTCTTTCTGGTCATTCTAGCGCCCATCTCTGAATTTATGCATTCTTCCAATGCTTTATAACTTGCCTATTCTGATGCTAAGCTGTGGTGTTGCCCTCTGATGGTCAAACCCTGGTACTGAAAGAAGAACACTGAAATTGGAAACTTGCATGAAATTGTGAACTCAGTTCAGCAGTAGGCACTTGGTTATTTAAAGAGTGCACACAGTGTGTAGGTTTTAATACAATGACAAACCCACTGAAAACGAGTCTGCGGGAGGTTCAGATTTCAGAAGCAACAAAAATCTGCCTCTCCAAATGAGAAAGCTATCATCTCATAGATGGTTGGACAAATGCCATTCATTCTCTGGACAGACGATGCTGCTGGAACTAAATTCTGACCCTGGCGTGTCTTGTCTAGTATGTTCGAGAGCTGCTGTGAAGAAACACCCATACCGATGAATGCACAGTAACAGGAGCAACAAGATGATCAATCTCTTATTGAGTGTTTGGCATATAGCTTCAATATTCATTTCTTTTATCTAAAAGATAGGGTACATCACCATTAATTTTCTATGGAGAAAACAGATTAAGAGGGAATGCTACTTTTCCAAAGGTCCTTTCAAACTGGTGAAAAACCTCATGCACTTAACCAACACCCTTCAGGAGGCATGCTGTCTTTGGTACCTTAACTCAGGCTTTCACGACTCTGCTCTGATTATAGAGCCCTGCCGTGCTGGAGGGGTAGGCTGACAATATCCATTATCATACACTTCCTGGGCTGAAGACTCAGAGGCACAAGCATTTTCATAGTAGTGGCATCCCTGGGGATATGGACAATCCGTAGAGTCTGGGGCTGAGCCTCTGCAGGCTAGTACTTGGTAACTAGTCCAGTGTGGTTAAGCCCCTGAGTTGCTGAGCCTGGATTGAGTATCTGTGAAATGAATGATGTGGTGCTTTTCCTTTTAACTCTAAAGATTGTCTAAAGTAGCTGGTGAGGAAGAGGATTTGAACTCACTCAAAATTCTCTGTCCTTTTTATGATCGTGCTCACAGAATCACAAATTCTTTCATTTTGTTTCTCATATGCTTCTTAAATATGGCATGTCTACTTTTTATTTATTTTATTTTATTTTATTTTATTTTATTTTATTTGAGTTACGAGACAGATTCTCTGTGTAGCTCTGGCTGTCCTGGAACTTGGTTTGTAGATTAGGCTGTCTTCGAACTCAGATATCTGCTTGCCTCTGCCTCCCAAGTTCTGGGATTAAAAGATTGTGCCATTACACTTGGCTTGCACATCTATTTTATCTGTATAATCACTGAGCCATTATGGGCCCCATAATCTCCTGAATAGCGTGCTCTCATGATCTCTAAGGGCTCCGACTTGACATTTATCCTCTGCAGTCCATGTTCTACCCATTTGCCAGGAGTCTCTATACCAAGCACCCACTTGCCTCTTCCTCACCATGCACACCCTATACAGCAGTGGTTCTCAACTTCCCTAATGCTGTGACCTTCTAAAGGATTTCATCATGCTGTGGTGACCCCTCCCCATCATAAAATTATTTTCATTGCTACTTTATAACTGGAATTTTTCTACTGTTATGAATTGTAATTCAAATATCTTACATGCAGGATGGTCTTAGGCAGTTCCCATGAAAGGGTCACTCAGTCCCCATTGGGGCCACCATCCCACAGGTCGAGAAACATTGCTCTAAAGGATTATCATCTTCAGTGAGAAACAGCCCAGGAGTCTGCCTTCATCTACCTTCTGTGCTTCTCCAGCTCCCTGTTCTCCACTTCCTCCCCCTTGCCTCACTTCCACCTCTCTACCTATTCTAACTACACTATATGCATTGTACAACCTTTTTCCTATCCTGGCTATTACTTGTTTTAATATCCCCTCTCCCTTTTATGTGGTCAATTATATATATTTTTTCATTTTATTCCTGAATCAGAGTCTTAATATATAACCTAAGCCAGTGTTGACTTTGTTAGACCCTGGTTTCAACCTTCCCGGTTCCAGGGCTATACCTAGATGTACACCTGTATGCTTAGCTTTCCTTGGTGAGTTTAAACTCATCAGTTCAGATATCATTCCCAGAAAGTTTATTCTCTCCTCGGTAACCCCAGTCTCTCCTGAGCCTTTCTCTGCCTCAGAGCCTCTCTAATTTAGCTGACCTGAAGTACTGTAATTAGATTCCTCATACATGCACTTCCTTACCATAGTCACTGACTTGAAGAAAGGAACTACTCCAAATTCGTCTCTATCTTCCTAGTGCAATCGAGTAGCCACTATGAATGTCAAAAAAGATTGTGCTACCACAGCTGTCCTAAAAGGCCAGGAAACCCTTTTCTTCTGGTGAACAATAGTGAGCACAGAGACCTGCAGCTGCTCCAGATTTCCGGTGAACAATAGTGAAGGCACATCTGCAGCTGCTCCAGATGTGGAGGATAAGCTATAACTGAGTGCTCACCTCTAAATAAGACACTTCCTTAAATAAATAACACACTTCCTGTAAGACTGGAGAAACACCGTGGGAGAGAGGACAGAAAGTATGTAGGAGCCAGACAGGGAGGGGAGGCATAAGATGCCACCTTCAGGCATGATGCAGTCACTGCATTCCTGAACTCACAGCAGCTGCAGTTAACCTGCACTGAACCTGCATCCGCACAGCCAGGATGGCCCATTAGCCATCAGTTATGGCGGAAGATGGTGTCATGAGTTCTTATCCCTCTCTGTTTAACTATTGGAAACTGAAAGATTCTGGAAGAGGGGGAGTCCTTGTCTTGGGTTTTGGGCTCACTGATGAGTGTACCAAGTTCCAGGGAAAAGTACTGAACTTATGGCTGAACAGTCACCGTTGACCAATCTCAGTGGGTCACCAGACAAAATAAAAAGACTCAGATGTGGGAAAAGGATTCGTAGTGATGGAAGGGTCTTGAGAGGGTGGGAGATGAAGGTAATTTATTAGAATGCATCTTATTCATGCATGAAGATGTCAAGGAGCAAAGTAATTTTTAAAAACAAATTCCTCTTTTGAACTTAGAAGCATTCATGACCTAAGTAAATATACTTAGTTTATGTCATGCTCTGAATATATGTTTACTGTATATTACAGTGTTTATATATGTATATAATTGTAAACTTATATACATATATATACACACATATATACAATTAACTTATCAAAGATCACAGCTCTTCTTCACCCTGAAAAGAATCAAACTTCAAACTGTGGGCATTTAAAGAAAGGACACGGGGCTGAAGGGATGGCTCAGTGGTTAAAAGCACACACTGATCTTGCAGAAGACCCAAGTTAAGTTCCCAGCACCAACACTGGGAACAACCTATAACCTCAGCTCCAAAATCGTCTCATGCCCTCTTCTGGCATCTGCAAGTGCCACCCACCCACTCACGTAATTAAACCAAATCTTTAAAGAAAGGATAACATGAAATCCTTGTGGGTATTGCTATAGAATAGTGACTTTCAACCTTTCTAATGCTGTGACCCTTTAATATAGTTCCTAATGTTGTGGTGACCCCAATCATAAAATTATTTTATTACTACACCATAACTGTAATTTTGCCACTGTTATGGATTATAAAGCGAATATCTGATCTGCCCCGTCAAAGGGGCTGAGACCCACTGGTTGAGAACCACTGCTGTAGAGGCTTTGGCTTGAAAGCAGTGTGGGTGATCCGCATGTGCCTGTGGTTGAAGCCTGCAGCATGGGGAAGAAGTAAGATTGGGGCAACGAAAGTTCTGCCCTGTGCATCCATTAGTGATTCTTCCATGTGGTGTAAACTATTGTCCTCCATTGTCAAACCAAACCCTCGATGGGAAGAGACATATTTCATAAGAAAGTATAAGGGGTGTAAAGACTTTTGCTGATACTGTGAGTGACCTTGCTTATAAATACTGGTCATCTATACTATATATTTATAGTCCTTTTTATTATTAAGGACATTTAAAATGACAATTCGAAAAGCGTCAACTGCTGCTGGACTTGCGGTGTAAGAATTATGTTATGATGTTTTCTCTTATTTCCAGTGCACATCATAGTGCATATCTAGAAGCTTACGTTTTTATGACCTCTTGCAGAAATCCAATCTGTGTTTCCAAAAGTTGGGAGCCTTGGTGGAAGAACAGACATCACCATTACAGGAGATTTCTTTGACTCTTCTGCTCAGGTTACCATTGCAGGTAATTATGTTAAAATGGATGTAAATGGTTCAGTTTTAAATGCTATAGGAGTTTCTATCTCTAATGACCCAAGACTGTGAAGGGAAGCTTTCTTACATTTTTAAAATTTATTTATTAAAGATTTCTGTCTCTTCCCTGCCACCGCCTCCCATTTCCCTCCCCCTCCCCCAGTCAAGTCCCCCTCCCTCATCAGCCCAAAGAGCAATCAGGTTTCCCTGCCCTATGGGAAGTCCAAGGACCACCCACCTCCATCCAGGTCTAGTAAGGTGAGCATCCAAACTGCCTAGGCTCCCACAAAGCCAGTTCGTGCAATAGGATCAAAAACTCATTGCTATTGGAAGAGTGGATGAAGAAAGTATGGAATATATACATATTAGAGTACTACTCAGCAGTAAAAAACAAGGACTTCTTGAAGTTTGCATACAAATGGATGGAAATAGAAAACACTATCCTGAGTGAGGTAAGCCAGACCCAAAAAGAGGAACATGGGATGTACTCACTCATATTTGGTTTCTAGCCATAAACAAAGGACATTGTTCTGCTGATCTTTAGTGCTTTCCATTTCTTTATCTTTCTTGTCTAAAAATTTTCAGTTCTTTAGTGAGATAGAGTCCATAAAGAATAAATCAGACATCACTGGACAATATCCGTCACATTGCTCTGAACTTAATGTAGACCATTGAGGATTCTTCAAATTTTCTCATTCGTATTATTACCACCTAACAATCGTTAGTTCCATCTGTGATTATTCTGGGGGCAATTGTCTACTAAATATAAAACTGCAGTGTAGAACGGAGGTGGAAAATGATATAACCTTATCTCTAAGAATATATTGAAAAATTTGAAGATGAGCACTTAGATATATGTAAATAACCCATATAGGTGACATGAGACAATACTTAATTGCACTCAGATTTTACCTGATGTGAATGGAGTGGTCCCTCACATCTATATTAACCGTTTTTAAATGCTGCCATTCATTTATTTCATTCTGAGTCTATGTGTGTGAGCCCAAGTATACATACATGCAGCACGTGTGCCAGTGTCCATGGAGGTCAGGGGAGAGCTGGATACCCTGGAACTAGAGTTGCAGATAGTTGTGAACTGCCATGTGGATGCTGCGAACTGAACGTGGGTTCTTAATCACTGAGCTGTTTCCCCAGACCCATACTGGCCAAAGATCAGCCATGAAAATGTGAG